AGAAAGTTGACACACAACAAAGAGAAATTTGACAAATGTGCTACAAGCTTTTCGCAGTCACGATTTTTTTTAGCTACTTTAACCCTTATTTTTTACACTTTTTGGGCCTTTTTTAAGATATTATTACCATAGTGAATTTAAGCGTTTTATTTACCCATTGACCTGCCATCTTACGAAAAAAATCTGACCAACAACTCGTCCATTGCCATCGGCCAGAGTCAAAAGAAACAGCTGACACAACTGTTCCCACCGTTCATCAGGGCCATCTAGTGTCCAGGCCAGCGGACCACGGGGAGCTGTAACACGCCCTTCCTCCTCTATACTCTCCTTGCCGGTGACATTGGCAGCTGCTGACACTTTCAAAACAAACTTGTAGCTGAGTCGTAGGTGAGGCTGAAACTTTTACTTTATTTTACTTTTACTTTTATCTTCTTCACCACTGATTGGCTCGTTTGCCGCGTGGGCGATCAGTTACGTCTCTGTTGGCAAGTACTGGGCATGTACTGTCTCCTGAATGACCTGCTCCAGTGTTGGTCAAGTCTGGTCTTGAGAGACCTCACACTGCCGTCACAACACTGGTATGGTCCAACGAATTACCCAAAAGTACCCAAAAGTATATTAATTCAGGGTAAAATCTTAACGAATATATGTTTTACATCAATAAAACCTGATTAATAATGTTTTCATCGAAATGTAGTCAAAATAATGAAATAATAAACAGCGAAAAACGCTAAATTCCAAAGAGTCACCTATCCAAAATGGAGATATAATTACCGATGTTTCTGTTACTTTGGGGTATTTAACATAGGATTTACTTTTCATTAGGTTAGGTTGGGTTAGCGAAGTGCATCACGATGGATCTGAGTTATCGCCATTGTTCACGAACTCTCTGGAATTTAGCGTACGCCAATACTGAAAGTTTTTCGCTATTTATTATTTCATCTTTCGAATTATTTTTACAAAATTACACTAAAAATATTATTAAACATGTTTTGTGTATGTATAACAGATATTCGTTAAGATTTTACCCTGATTTAATATACTTTTGGGCACTTCTGGGTATTTCGTGGCTCCCCACTGGTATGATTTCATATCTTGACTGTTGTCTCCTAATTTTAAACCCCAAACTCACTATGGGGCTCACTATATAACATAGTATGAATGATATTTTTATGAAGATTTTGTATTCCATTTAATTTAAAAAATAGCATTTGCATGATGAACACTTGGAGAGTTTACTCTTCACAGGTTATAGAAGCCACTAGGCCAGGGGTGGCGAACCTTTTTGAGAACGTGTGCCCAAATTGGAGATAATAATCTTCTGAAAAATTCTCTCGTGTGCCCGTAGGAATTTTGAGCAGATTATTATTATTATTATTATAATTATTATTATTATTATTATTATTATTATTATTATTATTATTATTATTATTATTATATTTTTATTATATTATTATTATTATTATTATTGCATTTTCACACCCCACATTCCTACCACTAATCTATTATCATATTCGAATAAGACGTCTAATTATAAGATAATTTTCATCTATTACATTACCGTCGCAAATGCATAATAACGGAGATAGCGTATCCAAAATTGTCTATATTTTCTTCCATTAATCTTCCGCCATTATCGCCTACCTCACCTTCCACACTGCGTGTCTCCTTCATAAATCATCACGCGCATGCGTTTCAGTACACGTCTCGTGGCCAATGAAAAGAGTTTTATTTTTGCAACCAATTAAAATGATTATTGGTTTAATTCGTGGTATTTTTGGCCCAATCAAAATCGATTTTTATTTTGGGTCTCATATTTCCAAATTCATATTCATTTCCGACCTTGGAAGTCTGTGATGGGTGTCACTTAAATTATATGGAGCTGATTGCGAGTTTTTTGGGAAAAAACGAAGAAACTATAGCATTTTTACGATTGCATGGTGTTCTCCCGACCTCAGTAAAGTGTCCTAAGTGCAAGACTGAATGTAAATATCGCAAAAACCAACATATGTGGCGTTGTCCTAACTTGTCCCTTATCCCAAAGACAAAGAAGAGACGGCAATAAGGTAAGAAAGAGGTGATTCCATCGTATGGTGAGAGTCAGTTAGGTTAGGTTTCGTTTATGTTTTTTTGGTGTATTTTGTATTTGCTTACCCATTATTTTTTTTTTTGGAAAACTTTCCATGAAAAAAAGATCTATAAAAAAAACCCGGCCAATTTCCGATGAAAATGAAGGTCATATTCGGTCTAAACACACTCAAATACACTAGAAAAATATATTTTTTACTTTCTAACAGTGGGCTGAACTTATGCAAATTTACCTTATTATTATTATTATTATTATTATTATTATTATTATTATTATTATTATTATTATTATTATTGTTGTTATTATTTTTATTATTAATATTATTTGGGAATTTTGCAAAAATTTTATAGAAAAAGAGAACAAAATGCTTGAAAACATTCTTAGAGAAGTTTATTTAGGCAACCAGTAACTCTTCTGAATTGTTTTATATGGGATAGCTTTAGGAATTACATGTTACAGGTTGTACCTCTCTAGTCCGGCAACCTCGGGACCTGACCGGTGCCGGACCATGGAAATTCACCCTTTTCCTTGATAGATAGTGACTTGTGCTTATGCTTGGAAGCACTAGCACCACTTTCTCTGCATCATGGTTTCTTTGAAGACATATTGAAGGGTTAAATGTCGTATAGTAGCTTCTCAAATTTCGCGAGTTTTTAATTCTTAACGTATTTTATTGGAACACAAAAAAATAAATAAATAAAAATTTTGACGGCGGAAACTTGAGTTTTGACGGGTTTGAACGGCCCGCCAACATGCAGACAACGTGCACAATCGTGTAAACAGCGTCATTTCTCTTACGTACAAAAGATTCATTATTGTTTATTACTGAATGTCTTTTTTATTGAATTAATGTTTATGTGTGCAAAATGAGCAATACAATTCATTCATAATACGTAGAATATTAAAACACACGAGGAAATGCCACAGCATTGTTTTCGTTGATTACAAAACCAGTGACTGACTGGTTCTACATATAAAACTGAAGAAAATAAGACCTTGGTTGTAGCTGTAGTAAAATTAATATGGTTGTTTTAAGTAATGTTAATAAATGGAACACTAGAAGTAGCTAACGATAAGGGTAAAGAAAAAAGAGAGATCGCGTAGGTAAGTGCGCACACGTGAAAACATACAGTGACCCCTCGGTTAACGAACTCAATCCGTTCCAGAAGGTCGTTCGTTAACCGAAAAGTTCGTTAACCGAAACCATTGTTTCAATGGGTTTTTGGGCAATTGGTTCCAGCTCACCGAAAATTTCCTAAATTCAACAAAAATGGTAGAAAAGTTCGCTTACTTTGAGGTGTGTATGTACAAGGCTCCTGGATGATGATGATGATGATGGGATATAGAATGGGAGTGGAGGAGAAGGAAGAAGAGAAGGCATTGGGGTGGACGAGCAGTCTCACTTTTTTTTTTTACCATTAATGGTTAGCTACTTATATTGTTCCATTTATTAACATTAAATAACATTACAGGTACTTCAAGCAACCATATTCATTTTTTTACATTAATTTTACTACAGCTAAACTCAGGGTCTTATTTTCTTCAGTTTTATATGTAGAACCAATCAGTCACTGATTTCGTAAGCTTTAACATAAACAATGCCGGCAGCCGTCTCGTCTCCTCTAATATTCCACGTAATATTAATAAATTGTATTGTTAATTTTGCACACACGTACATTATTTCAATAAAAACAAATTCAGAAACATTAATTAAAATATATATGAACAGTAAATAAGTGTTGCTTTCATGTTCTTATGTAAAGTAATGACGATATGTTTTCACATGTGCGCATGCACACTTACATATGCGATCTCTCTTTTTTCTTTACCATTATCGTTAGCTACTTCTATTGTTCCATTTGTTAACATTAAATAACATTACTTAAAACAACCATATTAATTTTACTACAGCTACAACCAAGGTCTTATATTCTTCAGTTTTATATGTAGAGCCAGTCAGTCACTGGTTTTGTAATCAACGAAAACAATGCTGTGGCATTTCCTCGTGTGTTTTAATATTCTACGTATTATTAATGAATTGTATTGCTCATTTTGCACACATAAACATTAATTCAATAAAAAAGACATTCAGTAATAAACAATAATGAATCTTTTGTACATAAGAGAAATGACGCTGTTTACACGATTATGCACGTCGTCTGCAAGTTGGCGGGCCGTTCAAACCCGTCGAAATTCAAGTTTCCGCCGTCTAAATTTTTATTTATTTATTTTTGTGTGTGTTCCAATAAAATACGTTAAGAATTAAAAACGCGCGAAATTTGAGAAGCTACTATACGACATTTAACCCTTCAATATGTCTTCAAAGAGACCATGATGCAGAGAAAGTGGTGCTAGTGCTTCCAGGCATAAGCACAAGTCACTATCTATCAAGGTAAAGGGTGAATTTCCATGGTCCAGCAATTTCCATGGTCCGGCACCGGTCAGGTCCCGAGGTTGCCGGACTAGAGAGGTATAACCTGTGTGTGTGTGTGTGTGTGTGTGTGTGTATATATATATATATATATATATATATATATATATATATATATATATATATATATATATATATATATATATATATATATATATATATATATATATATATTGCGTTATCGGTGACGTCATATGCCGTATCGGACTGTGATTGGGCCAAGCATCCTTACCTCCCTCCCTCGCTAGCTGTGATTGGTTTAATGTACTATGACGTGCCCCGCCGCGGGAGCGTTCAAGCCCCTTGACCTACCCGCGTCAGTTACACCCCTCCCGGCTACACCGTGTATATCGGTATCCATTGTTCCATAAGAATGGCTTCCACCGGACCACCACCACCACCACCACCACAAGGAAACCTTGCATTACCTGGACCCAGCCGCCCTCAGCCAAAGAAGATACGACGTTCCTTAAGCTACGAAATTAAATACAAGATCATACAAGAGTTGGAGAAAGGAACAAGACAGGTTGATCTCGCGCGCCAGCATGGTGTTAACGATCTACGTCAGGACTATCAAGAAGGATGCAGCCAAGATAAAGGAGCACATGAACATCACAAAGTCTACAGTGCTTCTATGGTCAAGTATTGCCACAACCAGGTGCTTTTCAAGACGGAGAAATTACTTGTGAGCTACTTCATTCGTCAGGCACGACAGGACTTACGACCGCCTCAGATATAGATAAAAAAAAAAATTTTTTTTTTTTTTAAATGACACACGCATTTTCTATACCGAAACGTTTCCAGTTAATGTAGTCTCCATGTATAATTAGAAAATTATGGGGGCCCCATGTGCATTCAGCTGACTAC